CATCATCATCATCATCATCATCATCATCATCATCGGGGCACCATCATCATTATCTCATCCTCATCATCGACACCATCATCATCATCATCAGCATCATCAACATCATCATCAGCATGCTCATCATCGTCATCATCTGGGCACCATCATCATCATCATTACCAACATCAGCATCAACATCATCATCATCATCATCATCATCATCATCACAATCATCATCATCACCATCGGGACGCCATCATCATCAACATCATCATCATCATCATCACCATCATAATAATCATCATCATCGGGACGCCATAATCATCATCAACCTCATCATCATCAACATCATCATCATCATCACCATCGTCATCATCATCGGGACATAATGATAATCAGCATCATCAACATCAACAGCATCATACTCATCATCATCGGGACACCATCATCGTCATCATCATGATCATCAACATAATCATCATGATCATCATCATCATCCTCATCATCGGGACACCATCAGCATCATCATCATCATCGTCATCATCATCATCATCAGCAGCATCATCATCATCATCGGGACACCATCATCCTCATATCACCATCATCATCAGCAGCATCATCATCAGCAACATCATTATCATCATCATCATCAGCTTCACCATCATCATCATCATCATCAGCAGCATCATCATCATCATCATCTCATCACCATCATCATCATCATCATCATCATCATCATCATCATCATCATCATCATCATCATCGCGGGACACCGCGGGACACCGGCGGGACACCGCGGGGCACCGCGGGACACCGCGGGACACGGCGGGACACCGGCGGGACACCGCGGGCCACCGGCCGCCCGGAAGGGAGTCATTTGGTCCGGCCGCGCCTCAGCCACACGGGACTTTCGCGGGACACCGGCGGGACACCGCGCGCCACCGGCCGCCCGGCGGAGAATCATTTGTTCCGGCCGCGCCTCAGCCACAGGAGACTTTCCGTTCGCCCGCCCACGCAGCTTCGCCTCGCCCGCACGGCACGCACGAACACGAAACCGAAATCGATTTCCCGGTAGGGGGGCTCTCCGTTCCACTTCGATCTCACCCCCCAACCTCCGATAACTATCGACCCAAACCATCGGCCCCACTATGTATATATTGATAGCACTCTTTATCGACCCGGCGATCAATCTCTCTACCAGCCTCACTATCGATCGATCGGTCTCACTACTTACTTGCAGATCTAAATACCTGTTCGTCGAGGCAACCATCGGGACAACCAGCGCATTGACTGTTGCATTTTGGCCTAACCCTCGGAGCCCCGATAGCGCCGAATGCAATCTTTGATCGAGACGCATGGAAACGATCATCGAGAGAACCACCGGGACAACCATCGGGACAACCATCTGGAGAACCATCAGGACAACTGCCAAGACAACCATCGGGACAACCACAAAACCAACACGAGACATCCGCGGGGCAACCACGGGGCCAACTCCGCCAGCCAGAGGATGGAGGAGGGACTTTTGCTGAGACTTCGCCCAGGCAGCCGCGAGATCTTCCTCTCGCCCGCGCACGCAGCTTCGCCTCGCCCGCACAGATGACACGCGCACAACACCGACACCGATTTCCTGGTGTGAGTCTCCGTTCGACTTCGGTCTCACCCCCAACCCCCAATATATGATCCCGGGCTCCGGGCCCACGGGCCCCCCCCCCCAGATGGTATGGTCCCAGGATTCCTCGGGCCACCCCCACCCCCCCAGATGGTATGGTCCCAGAGACGACGACGACGACGACGACGGCGACGACGACGACGACGACGGCGACGGCGACGGCGACGACTAAGACGACGGCGACGACGACGACGACGACCACCACCACGACGACGACGGCTGCGGCGGCGACGCCGGCGGCGGCGGCGGCGACGACGGCGATGACGACGATGACGACGGCGACGACGACGATGACGACGACGACGACGACGGCGACGGCGACGACTACGACGAAGTCGACGACGACGACGACCACGACGACGACGACGGCTGCGGCGGCGACGACGCCGGCGGCGTCGGCGACGACGACGATGACGACGATGACGACGGCGACGACGACGATGACGACGACGACGACGACGCCGAGGACGACGAGGACGACGACGGCGACGAGGACGACGAGGACGACGACGACGACGACGACGACGACGACGACGACCTCTGAACCACCACAGCACCACACCACATCCACAGGGGGGGGGGAGGGGGGCACCGCAGAGAAGCACCACGCCACGCCCACCTCTGAACCACCACAGCACCACACCACATCCACAGGGGGGGGAGGGGGGCACCGCAGCGCAGCACCACGCCACGCCCACAGGGGAGGGGCGGGGGGGACCATCGCGCGGGGGGGGGGGGGCCAATGGCATCAGCATTGGGGGGGGGGCCCAAGCCCTGGACCATAATAGACATGTGGGCATAGGTATGCGTGAGTGTAGAAAGCAGAGGAAACACATCCACCAGCCGATACACATATTTTCGATTAGGAGCTAGGACCACGATCCAACACAGTAGCCAATTTCTTTTCCATTTGAACCACAATTATTACAGTTGGCTTCAACCGTCTTGTCATCCACCATGCTGGTTCCTCGTGTTTTGGTGTCTGGGAAATAGCAGGTTTCAAAAAAAAGGGTAGTTACTAAAAATCATGCACTGGTATCAACACTCATCCCGCATCATCAACAAAACACATTCAAGCGTGAAGAACGGCAGGTTCGTCCAGATGTTCCATCTGCTTTTTGAATACCCAGAAGGTGCCAGAGCTTCTGTGGCAATTCCGTTGCTAAGTGTTCAACGCTTTGAGTTCGGAAGCCTAGGAATGTAGGCGCCGAGTCGGGGAGCAAAGCTTTGGGACCAGCAACAGGCACCAACCATACATACATAACAACAATGGAACCGCTTCCCTGATGATGGCACGACAAGGAAGTGGCAACCATGATTCGATTCTATATTAACAACACGGGTGTTGTGATTGTGTTGGTGATGCGGTCTATCATACTTTACTGGGCCTGTATGGCTACGTATCCGTACTGATACTGGAATTCAAAAGGCGAACGGCCCTGCGTTCATACAAACACTTGTCTTCCGACACCTTGGTGGGTATTACAATCGCCGAGTACGCATGCCAACGGGACGCGTTGGTAAATAATGTATCAATCCATGTGAATTCGCGGACGCCGAACGCCGTCGACCGCTGGGCAGCAAAGGTCAGGCGGTGTGAGAGAAGTGGAGGCGGGGAACAAGCGATTTCGCCAAGCCGGGCAGTGAGAGGAGCGGAGACAAGAGGGCCAACGGCAAGCTGAGGGGACTCCAGCGGAGGGACCAGGCACGCGTGTCAGAAGCAGGGCGAGGCGCGATAACGCGAACAAAAACGCAAAAGTCGCGACTGCTGTGCTTCATTTGAAGAAAGCGTAGGTGCCAGCGAGATGGGCCGCCAGCAGTAGACGTCCAGGTGCGACGCCGTTGCAGGAGCGGTGGCGACAACCCTGACGGCAACGAACGACGCACACATACACAAATGTACGCACACACAAACACACGTTCACACACACTAACACACACACACACACACACACACGCGCACACGCAACACACACACACACACATCAGACACGCAAAAGCACACACCAACACGCACACACAAACAAACAAACGCACACAAACACAAACAGGCACACACGCACGGACACACATAGACACACACACAGACACACACACACAATTACACACGCACACCTTTTGAGCGTCGAAGCCCGGGCTAAGCCGCAGTGCATCCGTCGGTCTGGCGGGCGCAGGCGAACGCGCGAGGGCTAAGCAGCGAAAGGTTGCCGGGCCCTCACGGGGCAGTGGCGGCACACACTTATACACACTCTCACACACACGTGCAACATAGAATTCACGCAACGCACACACACAACATATACACACTGCGCACAGATATACACCTGTACACAACACACACATACACGCACGCACCCCCACAACAACACACTCACACACTTACATGCACACGCACCCGCACACGTGTACGCACACGCACACGCACATGTATAAGCACATGCATACCCACCCAAATCACATACACAAACACACACACACACACCAAGCAAGCACGCAAACACACACACACACACACGCACACACACACGCACAACACACCAACATACACAACCCCACAGAAACAAACACACACACACACACGCATACATACAGACAGACACACGCAGGCACACACACACACACACACACACACGCGCACACACTCACAGACCACACACACACGCACCCGCACCCGCATACGCACGGGCACACGCACATCCACGCACACCACACATACAAACACACGTACATACATATCACACAAAAACTACACACACATACGCACATACACACAAACACACACACACACACAAAAACACACACACACACACACACAACGTACACACAAACACACAACACACACGCGCGCGCAAACACGCACACTCGCAGACACACGCAGACACACGCAACTGCAGGTAGACACACGCAGACACACAGACAAACACGCACACACGCACACACACAAACACACACACACACAAACACGCACACACAGACACACACACACACACACACACTCGCATACACGCGCACACGCACACGCACACGCAAGGGCAGCACAACACAACACAGAGCACAACACAACACAACACGACTCACACCAACTACACTCGCAACGTTTAGCTGGCTATTCCGCCTACCTCCATCCTCCTCATCTTCCTCATCCCACTCCTCGTTGTCCTTTTGCTCCTACTGGTCCCGCTGCTTCTACTGCTGCTGCTCCCCCTCCTCCTCATACTCTCCCTCCTCCAGCTTTTCCTCCGTCTCGTCATCGTCGTCGTCGTCGTCGTCGTCGTTGTCCTCCTCCTCTTCCCCGTTCCCCTCGTCGTCCTCATCATCATCCCCGTGCTCGCAGAAACTGTGTGCTGGCCTAGTGGAGCCATGGCGTTGCTCAGGCACATGGAGAATCCGCCGCCCCTTCTGTTGCTCGGGCTTGGCCCAGCGAGCAGTAGCGTCGGGTTTGTGCGGGCCCCCATCAGCAGGCGAGAGGAGGAACGAACGAGCGTGGGAGGAGGAGCGAGCGGCGAGCAAAGTGGCACCTCCTGCCCCCGCCTCCCCGCGCCGGGCGGAGAGAACAGATGGCGGGCGGGCCGCCCGAAGGGCCCCTCGGATACCTGCTGCGCCAGGCCGCTGGTGCCCCCCCAGTCCTCCTCTCGGGCGGGACGCTGGTGGACCAGAACGTAAACGACACAACCCCGCCTAAGGACGCAGCGGTGCTGAAAGCTTAGGCACTTCCCCGTGCAATCCCAGCGTGCTATCGCGGAGGCTGGGGCATCTCTCCGCGCGGCAAGGTCGCAACAATTCAACACGGCGGGTCCTAGGTGGCGTGGTGTCGTATGGTTTTGGGTCGAAGAAAGCAGGATCAATCAGCATCGAGTCGGTAATGCGAATCGGATCGGAACGTGAGTCGGATTGGGTCGCATCGGCCGTGCGCACCGGGCCGCATCGGATCGCTGGAACATCGAAATCGAGTCGGATCGAGCCGACGGGAGCCGATGTCGAATCGGATCGATCGGATCCACACGGACCCTGAAGAGACAGACAGCAAGTGGCGAGTTCGCGAACCAGCTCACGCAAGTGTTTTTGTTTTTCTGTCGCCTTCCGGCGCTGGAGGCACCCATGTGGTCGATTGCGGAAGCCCTGCATCCACAAATGTTGCAGTCTCGCTTTACTTCCGCCGCCCTCGGCCGAAGTTGCGCCGAAGTTCCGCCGGCGGACCCGCCGCCGTATGACTTCCGCCAGCTTCCGCCGAAGGCGAGATGCGCCGAAGGCGAGGCCCTTGACCTCGAACGTGCCGTGTATCAGGAAAGGCGCCTGGCGACGGGGCCGCTACCAGCCGCCTGAAGCGGATTTCTGAGCCCTCGTCGGATTCGCAAGGAAAGACCCCCTAACCCTTTGAGAGGAAGCCAAGTTATGAGGGCCGAAAGCATTGAGGAGAGGGGGTCTTTTCTTCAGATGAATCGAACCAATTCGCCCAAACTTATGATCCCTCATGCAAAGACGGGGACCTAAGTGAGGCCACGTCATCATTGTGTTATTAGGGTTAGGGGTTCTTTTATTCTCGATGATCTCCCCCTTATCTCCAGACATGCCATGTCTCGATGTTTACAGGGCTGGGCCCCAGGACGTGCCAACCCTTCCCCCAATCTTGAGTTATCCCGAGTCGTTTTCTGACGGTCCTGGGGCCCGGCGAGGGCCCCGTACGCCGAAAACTGACAACAACATTGTCCGTCGTGACGATTTCACGCCGCGAGCAAGTCTGGGATCCTTCCCCTCCGTCCGAGACCCTATCCTCGGAGGAGTTGACCAGCAGATTGATGATGCACATGTTGATCACCAGAGCGAGAACGAGCTTCCGCATGACGGCCCTGTCCGAGCCCGACTCCGTGGCGTGCTTCTCGAGCGGGGCCAGGGCGTACGCCACGTTGCCCAACATGAAATTCATGAACGACACGAACCCTGGAAATTAATCCGTTCTTGTTCGCGATAACGCCGTTTACCGACCCCGCCCCTGGTGGCGTCACGATCCGCGCTGGCGCCGTCTGGGAACTGGCCGCTCCTAGGCGTTCCAAGACGGCGCGAATCGTGAAGTCACCGGCACCCCCCCTCCCCCCTGGTCACGCGCGCTATCGCGAGGGGATAAAGACAGTGTCTCCTGCAATCAGCAAGGAGATGGCGAGGGTGGCCGCCCGGTTCCCCTGGTCGACCTGCTCCTTCTTCCACTGCAGGGCGTTGTAGGCGAGCCAGTAGTCCAGAGCCAGGATCCAGAACATCACGATCCAGCTGGCCATAGCGCCAGCTGCCTGCTCAAGCTCGCGGGAGGGATGGTGAACAAGGGAGGGGGGCGCGAAGGAGCGAGGGAGCGATGGATGAATGGAGGGAGGAGGGCGGGTGGCGGGGAAAGGAAGAGGATGCAGGAAGAGGAGGAGAGGAAGAAGACTGACCCCGACGAGCCCGATGCGCTCCTTCCACTCACTGCAACAGGCGCCCGCTGGAAAGGCGAAGGGCCCCGTGGGCCCGCAGTGGTTCTGCCAGGCGAGGGCGTCCCGCCGGACTCCCCAGCGGCCCAGAAAGTGGCGACAGACCTGCTCAGACGAAGCCAAGACCAAGACGAGATCGGACTGGGACACATCGTGTACTGTAATTATCTCCGAGATCTGGCACTTCTGGAAGACATACCGGGCGCCGCGGCTGCTCCAGAGCGCTCTGGAACGCTCTGCGAGCGTTCTGGACCGCCCTCGGATAACTAATCCCGGTCCTAGCCCCGCCCGACCTGCATCCGGGAGCACTCGCAGAACACTGGTCGTACGGACTGGTGTGTGACGCCGCTCCGCCGCCCAGGAGGACGTGCACCGTGCGAGCCGGCCTCCCTCTCCCTGCTTCCCCTGCTGCCGCTCCTCCTCCTCCGTCTCCTCCCCCACTCCTCCTCCTTGTCTCAAGCTGTGCAAGCGACACGCGCTACCGCGCAGCCCGCCTTGGCTTCGACCGCGGCAGGCCTCCTGACGCCGCGGGCCAAAAGGTAGCGTCGCCCCAGTGGACTCTCCAGGGGATGGGGGAGTACTGGGTACAGCAGGCACATACGATAAGAAATGTTGCTAGAAGAGATCTAGGGTACTTCCTTCGTCGACTCTGATTTTCGCGAGGCGCGACATGATCTGTGGCGCTGTCTGGAAATGAAGGATCATGGTGGGGCACCCGTTGGCAGGCTAGCTTCGTGTCCCTACGGTGTGTAACTTTTGAAGGACCTCCCATAGCGAATAGGCATGTGCATATGTGACATTTGGACGCCGCTCCGCTGGGCTCCCCACAGGATCTAATTTTGTGGCAACCCTAAGTTTCGGAGCACCTGGGGATGCGAGCTCGTCAGGGAGACATGACGCAGGACAGGCGAGCGACGAAGAGGGGAAAGTAATATAAGATGGGGAGGAGGGGCTGAGGCTGCTGTTTAAGAGACAGGGCCCCAACCAATGGGCGGGCTGGGCAAAACCGTGCTGCGTCTTACACGCGTAATCCGTTTTCGGACTCCCGGGGCTCCTCCCCCGCCCTCACCGCGTCCCGCGGCGCGCGAGAGATGCGCGGCGCTGTGGCGCATACTGGGGAAACAAGCGGGCCGCACCGCGCGCGGGTGCAGGCGCAAGCGCCGAAGGTTTGGCCAAACGCGGGTTGGTCTGCGACGTCCTCCAGGCCCCGAACCCCCCCGTCACCACGGCGAAGCTGCGGGCTGCGCACAGATCAGGCCCCTCAAATAGTCCTGGCTGGCCTGGCCTCACCACGTCCCCCCGAATAACTTAGTTAGTCCCGGCTGGCCTCAGCCCCGAATGGTCCGGGAAGGTCTCAACACCTCAACCGAATATGCCCATATCCACCGCCTGTGGAGGTCCAAGAAGATCGATCCCCCAGGCGGTGGTTATGGATAAAAATTCCCGCCTCGGAAGGAAACTGTTGAGACCGCCGTGGATCACTCGGGGTCGAGGCCCAAGTGGGGACTGCTCTGGGGGCCTGCTGAGGCCAGCTGGGGATACCTGGGCGGGATGTCCGTGCCCAACCTGAAGCCTCACCACGTCACCGGGGCCCCTCGCTGGGGCCCCTGGTCAGGCCCCCCTGCATGGCCCGCGGGGCCTCTGCCCCCACGCCCCTCCAACGACGCCGCGGCCCCTCCGAGCCGGGCATCGCCGGGCATCCCCCAAATCGCAGGAGCAGGAGCGGGACCAGCCTTTCAGTAGAACGACGACTGCGAGCCAGGTGCCCTCGCGATAATGCCGCCTTGTGTCGCTGGTGATGCCTCGTTTCCTCGAGGAAGAAACAACGGCATAATCCAATCCAGGGGAGGGGGACAACGAAACAGACATGGCGTAACGAGACCAACGTGATTCGGGATTCCAGTTTTGCTATGCCCGCTTCGGCTTCGCCACAGCACAGTCTGGATGAGGGGGACATCGAGGAACAGAAAACTGCGCTGGTCTGGCGGCGACTCCAGCGCCGCCCCCAGCGCGCTTCGCGCCAGGGAGTGGGTTCAGCGCCGATCCAAAAAATCAGCGCGGAGCTCCGAACAATTTGTTCGTGCCATTTCCTGTTCCTCGACTCCCGCCTCCTCCTCCTCCTCCAAATCGTGCTGTGGTGAAGCCAAGCGGGCATGACGGAACCGGAGGCCCGAATCATTGTTTCTTTTCCCCCCCTGCATCGGGAGTCCGATATACAACGCCGGTTCCATTCTGCTCGGTTGTCTTCGCTATGACCCCCAGCGCGGAACCCTGCCGTGCGATTAATACAGGGTGGCACGAACCATGTATGCCTTCACGAGCTTGGGCGCAGCAATGCCTTCCCAGTTGATGCTCTGACTCCTCCTCTTCCTCCTCCACCTCCTCGCATGCCTTCTCAAACTTAGACACAGCAATGTTCTCCCACTTGATGTTGGTGGGGTTGTCTGCGCGCTTCACGGACACCCGCTCGCCTTTGGGAGCGCTCGCACGCTCGTACTGCGACAACTCCGATGTCTCTGGCAGGCCTCGCATACTTCGTCCCCACCTCCTGCTGCTGTTCCTACTCCTTCTGGTCTCTCCTCACCCTCGTCCTCATCGTCTTTCTCGCGCTGGTCCCCGTCTGATTTCTTCTCCTCCTCCTCCTCCTCCTCCTCCTCCTCTCCTCCTCCTCTTCTTTCTCTTTCGCCTCCTTCTCCAACTGCCTCAGTCTTCCCCGCGATCTCACTCTTCGGGAAAGGTTGGGCGAATCAGGGTGAAGTAGAGTGGATGGTAGATGGGTGGTAGATGGACCTGGCCTGCCAGCTCGAGGGGTGGATGAGGGGGACGTGGATGTTTGGTGGACGGGAGGTGGATGAGAGGAGGGAGGTGAAGGTGAAAGATGCGGATTGGAAGGAGAGAAAGGGAATACTTCACTGTTTCGAAAGGCCGTAACCCCACTTATGCCCTCCGTGAGGCATTTCGCACTTCGTTCATGCGTCTTGGGTCTACTCTGGTCATCGTCCCTCCTCCTCGCGAGCCCCGACCACAATCGCCCCTGAATTTGGGCAGGCCGCTCTTGAAGATCTTGAGCCTGGCGGCTGGGCCAACATCACCGCCGCTGGAGTGTCAAGGAGTGGCGACGGAGGAACATGGGCGCGCGATTACGCTGCAGGTGGGAGGCAGAAGGGAGGAGGGAAGAGAGAGTGGAGAGAAGGTGGAGGAGGGAGAGAGGAAGGAGGAAAGGATGGGAGAGGAAGAGGAGACGAGGGAGGAATGAGGACAAGGAGGAGGACGAGGAGGGAGCGAAGGAGGGAAGGAAGGACAGAAGGCCCAACGATGAGGAGAGGGGAACCGAAACGAGCAGGGGGGGGGGCTGGAGGAGGACATGAGGAGGAGGGCACGGCGAGCAGGTGCGGGCATTGGTCGAGGGGAAGATCGGCGTTGCGCCTCAACCAGTGCTGCGGCAGGCAGGAAGGCACCAGCTGTACACCAACACCGATCCTGGCCCAGGATCACCCTGGGCCCAGGATCGGTGCATACGCCCTCCTGCCTTGCGCAGGAAGGCACATGCACCGATCCTGGGCCCAGGGTGATCCTGGGCCAGGATCGGTGTTGGTGGATCGTTGGTGCCCTCCGAGCAGGGGGGAGGGGGGGGGGCGGAGGCTGAAGGGGAAGTCCGGCTGGCTGCGCGCACCAGCGCGTACGCGGGGTCTGCGCGGGTCCCTACTGCTCTGCCCCTGCGTACCCGGCAACCTCCTCTCTTCCCCTCGCCTTGTCCCTCCACATTCTTCATCCTGCTCCCCTCTATAATCCTTACCTGTCTCTCTTCCCCTTTTCTGGAGGAGCCGTTGTTGCCCTAACCATCCGATTCTGGAGGTCCGCGCGGTCTTCGTTGGTCGGCGGTGAACCCCCTCCCTGGCGCGCCGGGGCGGCCGCCAGGGGGTCCAGCGCCGGTTCACGAAATAGCGCGGACCTCCAAAAACCTCTGCTCATACCGTTGTTGGTTCCCCGCGCTGCCGCTCTTTCTCTCCCTCTCTCCCTCTCTCTCTCCCTCTCCCTCCGTCTTCAAACCTGCGAGCCCTCCAAACTGCGGCAAGGTCCTTAGACGAACGCGCAAGGCGCTGAGGCGAGAACCACATTTTGAAAAGGAGCCACCCTCCATCCTTGAACCTGCTGCACACTTTTCAGACGAATGCGCGCGGCGCGAAGGCGAGAGCCACAGTTTGAAAACCACCCGCCCTCCATCCTGGAAGCTGTTGCACAATTCATGCTTCAGGACCTTCAAATGATGAAGAAGTCGCATGCGAAACGCCCGGTCCGCCCTACCGGCACGTCTGGGAGTGCGACGGGGAGGAGGTAGGGACAAGGAAAGACGAAGGGGGAGGGGGATGCCGAGGAGTCAAAGGGGATCAGCGGGGAAGGAGGAGGAGGACCATAATAATACGCGGTGCTTGGGCGATAAATGTTGGAGAAAAACGGCCAGTCCTACGTCCGTGAAGCTCTTACAAACTTTCATATAACACGAATGTGCGCGGCGCTGACACGAGAGGAGCTCTTTGGAAAGGAATCGCCTTCCATCCGTGAAACTTCTGCTAAATTTAGAACGAATGTGCGCGGCTCTGAGACGAGAACCACTATTCGAAAACCAGCCACCCTCCATCCCATGAAGCCCATGCACGCGTTTACTGCGAATGTGCGGGGCGCGACAGCGAAACCCACAATTTGAAAACGTCCCGCCCTGAGATCCATGAACTTGCTGTGTGCTTTCGCAACGATTGTGAGCGGCGAGCGCTGAGGCGAGCGGCGCAATTTGAGAACAGCCCGCCTTGCATCCGTGAAGCCCTTGTAAACTTCTGTTTGCGTAGCGCTAAGCCAGAAGCACATCTTGAAAACCAGCCGCCCTCCATCCCTGGAGCTCTTGGAAGATCTGCGCGGCGCTACGGCGAGAATGGCATTTTGAAAACCACCCGCCCTGCATCCATGAAGCCCTTGCAAGCTGGAATGCGGATGTGTGCGGCACTGAAGCGCGTGCTACTTTTTGGAAAGGGGGCGCCCTCTGTCCGCGAAGCTTTTACGGACCTGTACCATGAATGTGCGCGGCGTTAGCGCGAGAGCAGCAGTTTGAAGACCACCCGCCCCCCATCCATGAACAACCTGACGAAGCTTTAAAATGAATGCGCGCGGTGCTAAAGCGAAGCCCGCAATTTGAACGCGGCCCGAACTCCATGCGTGAAATTGCTTCGCACTTTTACGACGATTGTGCGCGACGGGCGCTGACATGCGAAATACGATTTTAGAACGGCCCGCTCTACATCCGTGAAGCCATTTCCAACGCTTACAACAAATATGCGTGGCGCTGGTGCGAGAACCACATTTTCAAACAAAGCTGCCCTCCAACCGCGAAGCTCTTGCACGTAATCAGTACGAATGCGCGCGGCGCTACGGAAACCACCACATGTTGAACACCACCCGCCATCCATCCGTGAAACTGTTGCAAACATATAGCACGAATGTGCGTGCGCTAAACTGAGAACCGCATGTTGATACCGGCCCGCCCTACATCAATGACGCTCGTCCGAACTGTTCAAACACATGTGCGCAACGTTAAAGCGATAACCGCATTTTGGAAACGGCTGCCCTGCATCTGTGAAGCTGTTCCAGGTCATAAGTGGTAGGACAGTCGGAGGCGAAGCGACTGGCCTGCCCTACCGACGTGAAGAAGAGCGGATGTAGGAGTGGGGAGGCTGAGGAATGTGGAGGGGTGGCAGGAGGCGGGAGACGAGGACGAAGATGATGATGATGATGCTGATGATGATGATGATGATGATGATGATGATGATGGTGATGGTGATGATGATGCTGATGCTGATGCTGATGCTGACGATGATGAGGCTGCTGATTATGATGATGCTGATGGTGATGACGATGACGATGTGATGATGATGCTGATATTGCTCATGATGACGATGACGATGACGATGATGATGATGATGATGATGATGATGATGATGATGATGATGATGATGATGATGATGATGATGATGACGACGAAAACGACGATTACGATGATGACGATGATATTGCTGACGATGATATTGAGGATGGTCATGATGAGGGGCAGAAGGAGGAGGCAAGGGGGAAGGTGAGGACGAGGAGGAGGGCCAGCGTCGATAATCAGTTTTACCAAGCAGGGAGGGGAGGTGGAGACAGAAGAGGAGGAGGAGGAGGTGAAGGAAGAGACGAAGGCGGAGGATTAGGAGAAGGAGGAGGAGTAGGAGAACGAAGACGAGCTCTCTTCTCTCTTCTGCAAGGGCAAGGAGCAATAGACTCTCTGGCATCTGGCCTGGTACGATGGACGGCGATCCAGAGAGCGCCGCAGAGCGCTGCTTGCTCAGGACTCAACATATTTAGTTGAGCATTTTTTTTGAAGATCTCCTGTGGTCCTGGTGGTGTGCGGGGGGGAGCCTCAGCTGAGTCGGCGAACGGGGGTGCCCCGGACCGCCTGTGCGGTGCTCCTGCCTGCCCAGCGGCCCCCAGAAGGTCCTGATAAGGTCCTAGGGCGAATGCAGGCTTTAAACTGAAGATGTAAACTGGCGAATTGTTGCCAGGAGTTGCCCAGGCATCTCACGAGATCAGACGAACCTAGTGCCCCCAGATCTCGACTCGATTCGATTCTTCCCCTTCCTCCTCCTCCTCCTCCTCCTCCTCCTCCTCCTCCTCCTCCTCCTCCTCCTCCTCCCCCCTTCCCATCTTCTCCGTTCTGCTCCAAACCCATCTCTAACTTCGGGCTGCTGGATTCGTGTTCTTATCCGAAGAACGTGCCTCCGACTCCTGTATCAGGAGGCGGCACCTCAGTGCATTCGCCCCCTGACCCCAAGCCCCCCGTGCAATACAGCGAGACTCCTACAAGCCGTGACGGGACCCAGGGAGCAACCTGCACAGCCTCCTCGCCCTCTGGGCACGCTTCGGCCACCCTAGGGCGGGATCCCCCGGCTGACATGACAAGACGGAAGGAGGAGGAAGAGGAGGAGGAGGAAGAGGAGAAGGAGGAGGAGGAGAGGAAGGAGAGGAGGAGGAGGAGAAGGACGAAGGGGAGCCCCCCCGCGGCAACTCGCGTGGTCCAGCAGGGAGGTGGGACGCTCGCGCAGTCTCCGCCGAACGTGCAAAACCATTGCGGCCAGACAGCCTCCGGACCCAGGAGGAGGGATTGGCTAGGAGCAGGAGGCAGGAGGATGAGGAGCAGCAGGAGGAAAGGAAGGAGGAGGAGCAGGAGGACGAGGAGGCGGACCTGTGCACGCCCAAGACTCATCAACGAAGTTGGAATAACCCCTCCCTCCAGGCTCCCTCGTCACATGCCCTTACAAGGATTCATTTCCACTGAGGGAAGTGCCCCGTTGTGAGACAACCGTTTGAACATCCTGAAGCGTGCCAATGCACTGCTCTCGAGACTTCAACGCGCCCAAGTCCACGGCCATTGTGGATGTTTGCCCCCCGTGTGTTGGCCACGCGGGCCAGACAGCGTAGGTGTAAACCCTCGTCCCCGTCTTCCTCCTCCTCTTCCTCCTCCTCCTCCTCATCCTCGGGGGTCGGCATGGAAAGTAAGCCGAAACACAACTCGTCCAGGTCGGCCAGCATCTTGCGGGCGGGGTCGTTCAGGAAGTTCCAGTGCTCCAGGATTGCACGCTGCGTGGCCTGGAGTGCGAGGAGAGGGAAGGGTCCCAAGACTGTGCAAAGACAGACCGTGCGGTGACCTCGGAATCCCCAACGACCTCATCGCACGGTCCGGCACCGCACGATTTTGGGACCCTGGAGGCCCCGATGGTCGAGGACATGCTCGGAGTACGACCCAAATCCCAGAACCGTGCGGTCACCCCCAATCCCCACTGACCCACCACACGGCGTGGTCACCGCACCGTTTGGGGGCCCCCGAGAGAGGGAGAGCCAGACGGGGGGGCGGCGCGCGCTGTGGGATGGAGGAGGGCAGGAGAAGGATGGCATGGCTCTCGGGGCTGCGCACAGACGGGCCTGCGCAGGTAGTCCTTCTTCACCCTTTCCTGCTCACGCCTCCTCCTCCTCCTCCTCCTCCTCCTCCTCCTCCTCTCCCTCCTCCTCCTCCTCCTTCTTCTCCTGCTCCTCCTCCTCCTCCTCCTCCTCCTCCTTCTCCCCCCCTTCCCCTCCCCTCCGTAGGCATTTGGGCTCAAGCGATCGCCCGGTCTGGGCGCGCTGCCCGCGGGCGCCATGTCGGGGCCCAGAGGGGCTCGTGCTGCGCTCGATGCTGCCTGCCTCGTGGGGGCGGCGGTTCGCGCAGCGGTGCAGGCGAACGCGCCTCGGCGAACGGTGGCGGCGGTGGCTCGCTCGGCGGCGTCGGCCGTGCTGCTCAGGAGCGCTGGTGTACGCCCGAGCCGCCCGCTGCTGCCACTGACGGTGCCGTGGGCAACGCGACGAAGGACGGCGTGAAGCGCGCCCGCCGCCAGCGGCGGCGTGCGCGGCTCGCGGCTCGCGGCGGCGGGAGGCTCGTGGCCCTGCGGCTGCTGCCCCGACCGCTGCGTCCCGCCCGGGCTGGAATGGCGGAGGCGCCGCGCCATGACTGACTTGCCGGCCCCTGCGGAGCCTGCGGCGGTCGCGGCAGCTGGTACTGCCGCGGCGGCGGCGGGCGATGCGCAGGTGGCTGGCGCGGCGGCGGCGGCTCCACCGTCCTGGCGCTTGACCGCGCGAGCCTGCTCGCGAGGATCCCGGCAACTGTCCATTGCAGGGGCCGCAGTTCGCCGCCCTCGACGACGACTGCCTGCGCTGCTCGCTCGAGGCGCTGCAGATCGCCTGGCCTGCCTGGGCCCCACGATCATCTATGGTTGGGCCGCTGCTTGCATGCCGCTCGTGCGACGAGGGTGCTCCCATGTGTGCCCTTCCCCGCCAGCTGGCACCGCGTGTGAGCCTCTCACGGAATGTCGGCTGACCTGTAGGCGGGCGGGGCCCTCCGTGTTTTTTTTCAGCACGGAGTCCGTACTATGTTGGACACCCTCGGTCAAGGGCCGACGCTTGCACCCTTCTGGCACTGGACCCTCTGCTCGGCTTCCGTGCCATGCAGGGGGCGCAACGGTCTGGCCCCTCCCCCTCCTAATCCAGGATCAGGCAAACGGCGGGTATTTATGTTCCCAACCCTCCTTGTGTTGGGCACTCGTTTTGAATAGAGCACTGTGGTATCCACCTCCCGCCCTCTCCTCCTTCTTCTTGTGTTCGCGGTGCCCTGCGGGGCTGCGATCTGCGCAACTGTCGCCACTTCGTGGGTTCCTGGGAGGCCCAGCGGAGGTACTTCCTACGCAGATCACTTTGAAGTCTCCCTGTCCCCTGCGGGGCTGCGATCTGCGCAACTGTCGCCACTTTCGTGGGCTCCTGGGAGGCCCAGCGGAGGTACATCCTACGCAGATCACTTTGAAGCATCCCTGTCCCCTGCGGGGCTGCGATCTGCGCAACTGTCGCCACTTTCGTGGGTTCCTGGGAGGCCCAGCGGAAGTACGTCTTACGCAGATCACTTTGAGGCCTCCCTGTCCCCTGCGGGGCTGCGATCTGCGCAACTGTCGCCACTTTCGTGGGTTCCTAGGAGGCCCAGCGGAGGTACGTCCAACGCAGATCACTTTGAGGCCTCCCTGTCCCCTGCGGGGCTGCGATCTGCGCAACTGTCGCCACTTTCGTGGGCTCCTGGGAGGCCCAGCGGAGGTACGTCTTACGCAGATCACTTTGAAGTTTCCCTGTCCCCTGCGGGGATGCGATCTGCGCAACTGTCGCCACTTTCGTGGGTTCCTTGGAGGCCCAACAGAGGTACGTCCTACGCAGATCAGTTTGAAGCCTCCCTGTCCCCTGCGGGGCTGCGATCTGCGCAACTGTCGCCACTTTCGTGGGTTCCTGGAGGGCCCAGCGGAGGTACGTCCTACGCAAATCACTTTGAAGCCTCCCTGTCCCCTGCGGGGCTGCGATCTGCGCAACTGTCGCCACTTTCGTGGGTTCATGGGAGGCCCAGCGGAAGTACGTCTTACGCAAATCACTTTGAGGCCTCCCTGTCCCCTGCGGGGCTGCGATCTGCGCACCTGGCGTGCACCTGGCGCCTGGCGCGCACCTGGCGCGCTGGGCGCACCTGACGCACCTGACGCGCTGGGCGCACCTGGCGCGCACCTGGCGCACCTGACGCACCTGGCGCACCTGGCGCGCACCTGTCGCACCTGTCGCACCTGGCGCACCTGGCGCACCTGGCGCGCACCTGGCGCGCACGTGGCGCGAACCTGGCGCGCACCTGGCGCGCTGGGCGCACCTGACGCACCTGACGCGCTGGGCGCACCTGGCGCGCACCTGGCGCGCCTGGCGCGCTGGGCGCACCTGACGCACCTGGCGCACCTGGCGCACCTGGCGCGCCTGGCGCGCCTGGTGCAACTGGCGCACCTGGCGCACCTGGCGCGCACCTGGCGCACACCTGGCGCACACCTGGCACACCTGGTGCATCTGGCGCACCTGGCGCACCTGGCGCGCTGGGCGCGCCTGTCGCACCTGCCACACCTAGCGCAGGCCTGGCGCACCTGGCGCGCCTGTCGCACCTGGCGCACCTGGCGCGCCTGGCGCACCTGTCGCACCCGGCGCACCTGGCGCACCTGGCGCACCTGGCGCACCTGGCGCACCTGGCACACCTGGCGCAACTGGCGCACCTGGCGCACCTGGCGCGCACCTGGCGCACACGTGGCGCACACCTGGCGCACCTGGCGCACCTGGCGCGCGCCTGGCGCGCACCTGGCGCGCACCTGGCTGGCACCTGACGCGCTGGGCGCACCTGGCGCACCTGGCGCGCTGGGAGCACCTGGCGCGCACCTGGTGCACCTGGCGCGCTGGGCGCACCTGACGCACCTGGCGCGCCTGGCGCACCTGGCGCGCCTGGCGCGCATGGTGCAACTGGCGCGCCTGGCGCAACTGGCGCACCTGGCGCACCTGGCGCGCCTGGCGCGCACCTGGCGCACACCTGGCGCACCTGGCGCACCTGGCGCGCTAGGCGCACCTGGCGCACCTGGCGCACCTGGCGCACCTGGCGCACCTGGCGCGCTAGGCGCACCTGGCGCACCTGGCGCACCTGGCGCACCTGGCGCACCTGGCGCACCTGGCGCACCTGGCGCACCTGGCGCGCCTGGCGCGCCTGGCGCACACTTGGCGCACCTGGCGCACCTGGCGCGCCTGGCGCGCCTGGCGCACACTTGGCGCACCTGGCGCACCTGGTGCGCCTGGCGCCACTGGCGCGCCTGGCGCACCTGGCGCGCCTGGCGGGCCTGGCGCACCTGGCGTACCTGGCGCAGCTGGCGCACCTGGCACACCTGGCGCGCTGGGCGCACCTGGCGCACCGGGCGCACACCTGGCGCACACCTGGCGCACACTTGGCGCACGCACCTGGCGCGCCTGGCACACCTGGCGCACGTGGCGCACCTGGCGCACCTGGCGCACGTGGCGCACCTGGCGCACCTGGGGCACGTGGCGCACCTGGCGCGCCTGGCGCGCTTGGCCCACCTGGTGCGCATGGGCTTGTGGGAGGCTCAGCGGAGGTACTTCCTACGCAGATCACCACTATACCATGGCGCCGAAATGTCATTCGGTATTGAGTGGTCCTGAATGCAATTGCCACTTGTGTAGAAAGGGTTGGGTACGTCGCATGATAATGTTATGTTTGTGGCTGCGCAGATTGTACGACGTGGCTCACGCTCACGTTGGCCACTCAGGCCGACTGGATATACGATCCAATGTTTCAAGTGATGCCTGGGGCGCTCTGAAGACTTGCCTTGCGTTTGTTTGGGATCAGAAGATCAGTCTCGGGAGATGTCAGAGAGCATGGGCGGCTTACAGTGAACGCACCTCGGCCAAGCTTCATTGGACATAGCTCTAGGTCCCACAGCTGTTGTTTGGCTTTCCCTAGATGGTATCGGGTTGCGCATGCGCTATAGCACTGTCTCCCGAATGAGATCGGCCATTGTGTCGACATGCTCGTCATTCATCCTCGGTCGGTGCTAGAGCTGGTCAGGCAGGTTATTCGGCACTGGCCTTTCTCCAACGTCTCTGGGAACTACTAGGATGTTTTCCAGATGGAGAACACACATGGAGGGGACACAGACGCGGTCAAACACCGTAGGCTTACAAGACCATTGTGTGAATTGTGGCCGAGCTCGTTATGAACTCGCTGAAGGCAAGCCACGACAATTCCCCCGGCTGTGCTAGGTGCGCGGCTGACCAAGCCAAAAATGAGCACGATATATATATATATATATATATATATATATATATATACAAGACTGCATTGGCGCTTCGCGCCATGCACCTTGGTCCTTCAACCCTTGCGCGCGTTGGCGTCTAGCGCGGCCCTCCACGGTCTTTGAACCGCGGCCGGTTCGCGCCCAGTTCCCGGACCTGCACCTTTCTTGCTCGCGCCCTCGCTCTGCTGGTCCGCGCGCCACTGGGACTCCATGAGAATGTCCCAGCGGACCGATCAGCGGCGATGAGAGCGGCCGTGGAGGCTCCGGAAAGACAAAACGTCGGACAGAAGGGGCGGGAAAGAAGTGGAGGACGATTTGGGGAGGCGCGGCGAAGGGAGGAATATCATGAGGTAAGGTAAGGTAAGGCACGCATTGGGGCGGCGTGCTGTCTCGACTTGCGCATGGGGGTGAGACAAACGG